TTTTTTTAAATTGAGATTTGTACATCATCTGAATAAATAAGCTTTCCGTTGATGTATGGTTTGTTAGGATAGGACAATATTTGGCTGAGATACAACTATTTGAAAATCTGGAATCTGAGGGTGCAAAAAAAATAAAATCTTGAGAAAATGGCCTTTAAAGTTGTCCAAATGAAGTTCTTAGCAATGCATATTACTAATCAAAAATTAAGTTTTGATATATTTACAGTAGGAAATTTACAAAATATCTTCATGAAACATGATCTTTACTTAATATCCTAATGATTTTTGGCATAAAAGAAGAATCGTACATTTTGACCCATACAGTGTATTGTTGGCTATTGCTACAAATATACCCCAGCGACTTAAGTTTTGTGGTCCAGGGTCACATTTAGACGGTCATTATTGTCAAACACTGACAAGCTGATCAGGTCTTTTATGGTGTTTTTATATACGAAGAAGGAGATCATTGTCATCATAATTTAGAAATATCTGATCGCTGAAAGCACGATTGACTAATGAGAACCAAGTATACCAGAGAGCCGTGTATTAAGTACGTCGAATATATGGAAGAAGAGAATATGCCGTTTGTTTTGCGACACACATAATATCTTCAAGAAAAAAACACAGGCCTGTCATATTGATAATATGTAAAACTGAATTATAACTTTTAACACTTTAAACTGGCAAAACTTACCGCCATTTCTGTGTTTTAGAGCTAAACAGACTTCAATGATCTGTACACCAAGCTCATAGTAGAAATCTCCAACTCCAAGCATTTCTGACCAAAATCCTTTTCCAGCTGCACACATACAGCAAAAAAGTTAACAAGGACATACAACTTTTTCTTTGAAATTATGATTCACTATAATATAATTATTTATCATTTTAATTTATAAATTAATTAAATGGTACTTAATAATTTCTACTAATTAGTTAATTACAATGCATCCAGTTTTCATTAAAAATTAATTATAGTTTTAATAATGTATACTAGTTGATTAGTAATGTATAACCCTAATATTAAATCATCAAAATTCTGTATAATTACTTACAAATGCAATAATTAATTATTTATTATTATAATTGACAATAATTAATGTTATAATTAATTATAAATATAATTTACATAATAATTAATAATAATTATAATGCATCCACACTGTTTTCATATAGGGTCAAATACGCAAAATGGTTGTCAAGTATCAACACACAAAAAAAGTTCCCCCCCATACATTAGAATGTGTCCTGCTCAATTGTGTGTGAGTGTGTGTGTATTTTCCCCCAATTATCCACCTTTTTCTTCAACGCGGAAGTAAGCCTATGGGTGAGACTTCCGATTCATTAACCGCTATAGGTAAATAACGAGGAGAATAACAACATGCATAAATGGTCAAATTGTTTGCACTACAAACCAGTGTGTTCATAATTAAGATAATACATTAAAATAATATAAGACAAGACACACCAACTTTCAATATCAAGCAGCAAAACTATTTTGTTCAGCTAAAAATAGCTGGACGGTGTGGACGCAGATGAGACCGGAAGCCAGACCCATAGAATTTACAAATGGCCGCGCCCATTTTTACAACAAGAAAAAGGTGGATATATTTATTTATTTCTGAGCAAAAATGGAACGTCTCGTCTTTGACCCATGAACATATAATAAAAAGACATCCATTTCAGCTTTAAGGGAAACATTTATGATAGGAAACACGTACATGCCAGTGGATCAACCCCTATGGTGGCACACATCTCTTGGAACTGCACCCTGAACTGAGAGTTCTTACGGATTTCTTGTTTGTGTTTGCTGGCAAACTCTTCCAAATTGGTCTTAAAGGTTTCCAGTTGTTTTGACATCTACAAGGGCAACACACACGGTCTGATTATAATGGGGTCAGTGCTGTTTGAAGTTACATCTGTGTGGTTTGCCCAGTAGGCTATACGCACCTGTGCAATTTGATCCTCTGCAAGGACAGTTCCTCTCTCTTTATACTTTGCCTGTGACGGTAAACAAATTAGCTGAATGAATATGCCACAAGATTTGCCTAGTTACCAAATCTCGCAGAGGTGATGTCATCATACCTCTGCAAGTTTCTTTTTGGCGATCGCTTCAGCTCCGCCTCCTCTTCTGTGCATGTTGCCTAAATAAAAACTAAAATACTATAATACTACAAAATGAAACTGTATTATTTCCCTGTTCTGATAACTGTAGTAATTTACTTCCTAGTCAGCTGAACAGTTCACGAGCTACATTTAAACATCGAGACAGAATACGACAAAACAGACTAACTAAATTAAATATATTACAATAAAACAAACGAATAGGGTTGTTCCCTTTCAATTATGCTCTTCTTATCTACAACGTTACAAACAGTCCAGGAAGAAAACATCCACAGAAGTGTGTTATTTCTTCTATACACGACTAAGGTCTCGACAGTAATGTTTTGGTGAATGTGTCTGATAACGCCACCCGTCGGTCTGGAGAACAAAGTCTGGGTATGCAGGGTATATCGTGCATATTGGCCCGGGCTGATTGGGGGCCCGCAGAGGGGGACTTTTAAATTAAAACGAGGGAATGTATTCTTCTTAATTTTATATATATCTGCGGGCTTTTTAAATTGAAACGAGGGAACGTATTGTTCTTAATTTTAAACAACAAGGACATTGTGGATGAATTCGCTGAAAGAAAGGCCCAGAGAATTAAATAAAATTAATTACTACTAGCCAACTACCAACCTCACAGGTTTTATTAATTAATTTATTTGTATTATTATTATTAGTTTGTTTTGAGAAAATAGCTGTGGTGCAGTAACCCTGCATCTTACAGGGTTAGTTCACCCAAAAATGAAAATTCTGTCATTAATTACTCACCCTTGTGTTGTTCCAAACCCGTAAGACCTTCGTTCATCTTCGGAACACAATTTAAGATATTTTTGATGAAATCTGATATTTTTGATGAAATCTTTTGATGAAATCATAAAAAATATCTTAAACTGTGTTCCGAAGATGAACGAAGGTCTTACGGGTTTGGAACAACACAAGGGTGAGTAATTAATGACAGAATTTTCATTTTTGGGTGAACTAACCCTGTAAGATGCAGGGTTACTGCACCACAGCTATTTTATCAAAAAAAAAATGTTTTTAATAATAATACAAATAAATTAATTAATAAAACCTGTGAGGTTGGTAGCTGGCTAGTTGAAAAAACTGTATCACAGCTGTATCACATCTAGCTTCAGCGACACCTGCACCGTTTTAATTCTCTTTCTTTCATTTCAATTTTCTTTTATTGAAAGACTATCGAAAGTAGCCATTCTTTCCATTGAGAATATACACAAAGCCTTAAATAAAACACCAAGGACATAGCAGATGAATTTGCTGAAAGAAAGGCCCAGAGAATTAAATTAAACACATTTATTGTTTGTATTTCGTGATAAAATTGACAGAAAATAAAGGATACTGTGTTATATTGAAAGTAACAAAATGCTTATTATTGTGATTATTGGATGGCTGGTGCACTACAAATAATGACTAGACTTGAAAACGTTAAATATAATTTCCAAGCATTTATATCGTTAATAAAACTTGTGAATAGTCATGTAATGTGATACCTCAGAAAAGACAACAATAAGGAGCATTGGAGCCCACATTAACCTATAACGTATGTTTTTGCATATGGGCCCGGGGCTGACTTGCTACGCCACTGATCATGTCACTAAGAGAAGGAGTAGAAGGACAAAAAAGGAAAGAAAGACAGACCCTTCAACTACAAAATGTCCAGATGCAAATCCACCACCAGCAAAGGCTAAACTTTCTTGGATGGACACCAGCAGTGCACACAATACCAAGATTGAAGATGAAATTCCTGAAAAGCATAAGAGCGGGAGTGAAATGATCGTAGAGCTGGATCTGAGACAAGAAAAGAAGGAGAGAAAGACTTAATATGCAACTCCACCACCTGCAAAAGATGAACAGTGGACCCAAACAATGCAAAAGCCACAGATTAGGAAAAAAAACAAAGGATGAAAAAACAAAGCCCCAAAAACAAGCAAGCAAAATTGAAGAGACGTAGGCTATACAGGAGCCTGAATGCAGTAGCAAAATCAACCAACAAAAGGGATTTCTTCTCATTTGTAAACTGGCAGAGAAAGAGAAGATGAAAATCAGAAAAGAGGAGAAAATACAAACTGTACAATATGTCAGTGATCCATCTATGAAACACCTGCTCATCAACAAACACAACAGGTTCAATAAGTCATACAGTACAGAACCTATATAGAGGATGATCTCCCTCTCAAAATTTGAGCATCAAGAACATATACAGGTGGTGGAAGACAAGAAGGATCACTTCCTCCAGTAAAAATTCTGTAAATCTGAGGCCAATCAAGTTTATTACCTCATTGTTCATGTCTTACACTGAAAACAACAACAACATTTGGGTCACTGAAGCTATCTGTCTGTCTGGGTTCAAAGTGAAATGTATTTTTAATATGTGGCCTTTTCACCCATAGCTTCATATATGTTCACCTCTAGATGTCCTACCATTCTAGTAATGATTTCTGGATATTGATGCGATGTGCTGAAATGAGTTTAAATGGAAATCAATGTTTACTTCATCAATTCTACCACATCGGTGAAAGAATGTGCACGCAAGGCCCAGAGAGTGTGCACATATTTACACCGTTTATGTTTTATTTTTTCAAATCCATGTGCATGGCAAGGTTTACACATCAAGCCCGATGTTCTGGATGGTTCAAACGTGTTGGATATATTTCACAAAGTGGTGAGGACAGTATCAGTAGTAGGGTAAAAAGTATGTTCAACCCACAAGTGACTCCTTTTTGGGTGACTAATAGTAGTGATAATAAAGTACAAACCACAATTTATGATTCTGAAAAACAATTTAATTATAATGAAGAGATTTTCATCTAGAGATAGATGACATTCAGTACATTGATTTACTAAACATTTCCAGTACACTCTTCAAATCGAACTTGGATTCGGTCTGTTCTCCAAGGCGCTTTAGAGGCACGTTCGGTTTAGCTTTATTGATTCCTGTTGGCCAAGGAAGAAAAATATGGTAAATGCAGTTTACATGGTAAATCACAACTAGTCTCACTTGTAGAAGGCAACTTACTTGAATGCATCGCCTTTTCTCTGAACCCACATCACAAACTCTTTTTTCAGCAGGTCATTGAAGATGCGGGTGTCTGGATCTTCTATAGTTGGTCTGTAGAAACAAGCATCAGATCCTTCCTGCTGCTTCATAAAGCCTGAATATTGTAACATGGGCCTACATGCTGCCCATTTCCCCAAACTTACTCGCTTTTCTTCTCCCTCTGATTGAGCAGAAAGTTTACAAAGTTTTTCTGGACCATCGAGTCCACAATTTTGCTGATGTCACTCGCAATGGTTGATTCAGCATAACGGCGGCTAAACTTCTGGATCTCATTTCGTGAGCTATTAGTGAAATTTGAAAAACAAACAGAGCATAAAATCAAAACATAAGCTTTTCTTTAATTGTTGTGTGACTTCTGTTGTCTATACATATACATTTTGGTAACACTTATAATGTTAGTTAATGCATTAATCAAACTTAAAAAGTAGTTGCCGAAAATGTACTCACCCTCAGGCTGTCCAAGATGTAGATGAGTTTGTTTCTTCATCAGAACAGATTTGGAGAAGTTTAACATTACATCACTTGCTCACCAATAGAGGAAGTGTCACGGGACCATTTTGGCCAGAAGGGGTGGTTTAAAATAAAATGTATTAATGATAAATTTGTTTATTACAAACACACTGCTTTTGGATTACTTATATTACTTGTGGATTTTTGTATTGCATTTATCAGCTTTTTGGACTCTCATTCTGACGGCACCCATTCACTGCAGAGGATCCATTGGTGAGCAAGTGATGTAATGCTAAATCTCTCCAAATTTGTTCCCATGAGCTAACAAGTTCATCTACTTCTTGGATGGCCCGAGGGTGAGTAAATGTTTAGCCAGTTTTCGTTTTTGGGTGAACTATTCCTATTATATAACTATAACTATTTCTGTTAACAAATGGAACCTTATTGTAAAATGTTACCACATTATATGCATACAGTATGTAAGTTTTTTATTCGAAAATGATCTGATAATGCTTAATTATTTTCTTACCTGCTATCAAGAGGCAGGGATCCCGCGCATGACCATGCACAGCCTAGGCATATCAAAACCAACGCAAATACTGCAACCTTCATTTCTCCTTTAATTCTTCAAACCAGATGAGAAAAATAGATTTCAAACATCCAGCACCTCTGACAACAAAACAGCTGAATGCAAATAGATTTAGACCTACCCTTTCTAGTTCTGGTCCTGTTGTGATGGTTCTGCTTCTGGCCCCTGTATTGGCTAAAACTGATGCACAAGTCTACAGCAAACTGCACTGGTCTTTTATACAGTGCGATTGACATTAACACCAGAACAACAACTTATTTCCACATCATTTAAACAATTAATAATGAGGCATAAAAGCTGATAAGGCTACTTTTTCTTACAATCTTAGGTGTCAAATCTATTTACACTCTTTGTGGTTTGTACTAGACAAATAACATGTTCGTGGAGCTGAAAATAGATAAATGACCCCATTAAACCATTAGTTTTTAAAGGCAAACATATTTTCATTATGCAAATCAGACAAGTATTGGCTGATGTAAGGAAATGTTCCAAGCTAATGACTCGAGGTGTACATTTTCAGGCATTTTAAGAAAAGTCAACAGATTATGTTTTCCAAAGGTTCCTGTGTCCTTGTGGCAATAATACGAGTGGTGATGGATATGCAGTTATTAAAGGAATGGCTGGTGAAAATGCATTTTTAGACTTTTGGAAAAAATAAAATATCCATATTTCTACTTCATTCATATTTTAAACAGGATTGCCTCACAACAAATAAGGTAAAGACAAGATTTTAACTGAACATTTATATATGTTCTGTAAATATTCCGTTTCATATTCATTCATATAGCCTACATACTCTGTATTAAAAATGCAAGCATGTTTTTGACATTGTAATGGCTCAGTGCTGTTTTGGACTGCTTGTTTCCTAAGCTTTTATTTTGAAATCAGAATTTCCGCTGTGAGTAACTGCAAAAAAATCAGTGTATAATTCTGCATGTACATATCTATAGAGTCAAGTGAAGTGTTTTCAAAAACAGATAAATTCGTCGCAGTTGCATGTTGTTAAAATATGCATTTATTAAAATACCCGCGTCAGAAGTCAATAAAACGCCCACGTCAGCATTAGTTAATAATAAACACACAGTTATTGCGACCAAAGAAAGTTATTTCGTTCATAGATAAGATGGATGGAACCTCAGATTTGTTTTGGCAGGCGATGCTGTTTACGCTTCTTGCGATTATAATAGCAGCAGTTTTTATGGGAAGAAATCAAGCTCCTGCGCCGTCAAAGTGCTTCCATCAAACTAGCGCTGTTGTTGTGGAGGAGAGCGCTGGTCCAGACCCTGGAGTTTCCACACAGTATCATGAAAAACGAAATAATGACAGCAATCAACAGGACATTCCGCCAAAATCTAATGCAAAGAGCCTCAAAGCCAAAGATTAAACTAAACTTGTAAAGGTAAGGATTTATTCTGCTTTATGGATGATTCTGTAATTGTTTACAATCCAACTGAAAATGACAAACCAATGAAAGCATTAAGGAAATGTTTCTCTAATGAACCCTTTATTCTTTCTATCTTCTCCTCAGGATTCAAACTCTGATAATGTGGACAAAGTTTGTAAAAAGTCAGATTCTCCAGTTCACACCTCCACTGGTTGGGGAGAGGATTCCTCCAAGTCTGGGATAAGGAATGCCTTGAGGGATTATGCTCAGTCACCTGGTATAAGAATGATGATGATGATAATAATAATAATAATAATAACATTTTTACTAGCTTTCTGTTTATCAGTCTTATTATTGTTTATTATTACAAATTGTTTGGGTTACTGTTTCATAACTATTATATTAAAGTATTTTTTGACCTCTGACTGTGATTATAAATGTATTCACAGATGCTACTTCAATCAATATTTATAGGAATTGAACGTTTTGTATTAAATGTGCACTTGTTGTGTACTTAAAATATTAAAAGGATATTTTTAAAACTGTACTTGCTAATACATAAAAAGCCACTTAGTTCACCCATATCATTGCAGTCAGCGGGTGTTGCATTGCTTCAGTCCAAAAGACCTGAATAAAAAGCACCCTCACACGGCTCCGGGGGGTAAACAAAGGCCTCCTGTAGCGAATCGATGCGTTTTTGTAAGAAAAATATCCATATTCAAAACGTAATAATCACTTTAATCTAGCTTGCGCCAGCAGTTGTACACAGAAGTAGTTCCGGGGGATGGATTCAAGTGATTATTACGCTTTGAATATGGATATTTTTCTTACAAAAACGCATCGATTCGCTACAGAAGGCCTTTGTTCACCCCCCGGAGCCATGTGAGACACTTTTTTTTATGGAAGGGCGCTTTTTATTTCAGTTCTTTTGGACTGAAGCAATGCAACACCCGCTGACTGCAATGATAGAGCTTGAAAGATCAAAGACAATTTTTAATATAACTCCGACTGGATTCGTCTGAAAGAAGAAAGTCATATACACCTAGGATGCCTCGGGGGTGAGTAAAACGCAGCCTAATTTTCATTTTTGGGTGAACTAACCCTTTAAGTGAACTTAAAGAAACACTTATGACTACGTTTTTTAACATGTACACTTAAAAAGTGCACTTTGTAACAATGTCAAACTAAAAGTACATTTTAACTCATTGTTATCATTTAATGATATTTTGTCATACTTTAAAGAAGTACTGTACTCTTATTTGGATGTGTTGACTAACATACTAAAGCACATGTAAACTACATGCAATTTAAACTGTAGTGTGTTATCTGATATTACATGCATATATTTCAGATGTACTTATTGCCACTTCATCATTACAAATGTGTAATTACAAATAATTTAAATACATGACATATAAGTTTCAATTAAATTATATCAAAGTATATTTTAGCATAAATATTTTGCATAAATGCTTGTCAGTACATTCAGCAACCATATTTCAAAGACAATAGAAGTAATTATGAAATAACATATAAAATATACTACTTAAGTGGGTAAAAAGGCACTTACATTTCTGTTTATGCATTTAGCAGATGCTTATCGCAAGTGACTTACAAAAGAGGAACAAATCAATTCGTTAAAGAGCCAACAGTTGTTATAGTACACAATACCAGATTAATTACACAACCAGATAAGGAAAACAAGCTAGAGAAGAGAAGTACAGAGTTTAAATATTTATTTTATTTTTTTTTATTTTATTTTATGTTTGTGTAAGTGGATTGGTTTAAGAGTAATTGCATTTAATATAAATTTAAACTATGGTACATTTTTATTTAATAACATGCAGTTAAGTGTCTGAAACATTACAATCAGTTTGCCCTTATTTATATTATTTTTATTAATTTATTTTATTTCCATAAGTACTTTAAAAAAAAAAGTATGCTAAAGTCTGCTTCCTCTTCACAGGTCTTGGTATAGTGCTTAATATGTATAGTAATTTCCTGCATAATGTCATACATGCATCATGCACCCCCCTTGGTTGAAATCATGTTCCAGGCCCCACAAACTATGTTTCACAATTAACCCGTCTGACGCCCCTGCGTGTGTCACAAAAGTGAGTCAGTGTTAAAAATGAAGATGATAAAAAAAATGCCCTAGAACAATACTAATGCAAATAATGTTCAAGGCAAATTTTGCTGACAAGGCTAATTTAATATTAATTTTCTAAAAAAAAACAAACAAAAAAACTAATTCAGTTTGAGCAGTTTTTGACAAAATCTTAATTTTACAGGCTTCACAAGTATTACTGTTTGGTTAAGTAAGTAAGTTTGTCACTCCATAACTTCCACTCTGCAATAGATGCTGAGAAGAAACCCTTGAGGTACATGGCTGGCATGCTGAGGACCTGCCAGCTTGAGAAGATGATGACCAGAGAAGAACTGGAGGAAGAGCAGTGGTGATTTCTTCTTAACTGAATGTCTTGTAATTTCAGCAATCCTTGCTAAAATGCTGTTGGATAGTAAGAACATTAACCAGTATCAGGAGGATACCTGGCTTTTGTCCACAATGTATGTACACCATCATTCAAAGATTTGGGGTTGATGTTTTTAAACTGTTTTTGAAAGAAGTCTCTTATGCTCATCCAGACTGCATTTATTTGCTTGAAAAATTTTTTTTTAAATATATTTTAAAATGTAATTTGTACTTCTTGTGATATTCTAATATGCTGATTTGGTTCAAGAAACATTTATTATTATTATCAGTGTTGAAAATTATATATATATAAAAAAATAATAATTTAAATTTAAGTTCAAAAGAAATAGAATTGTGAAATAGAATTGTTTTGTTGCATTATAAATGTCTTTACTTCCATGTTTGTTCAGTATAATGCGTCTAAAATGCAAGGTTCACTGAGTAATTCATCAAGTCTTACCTTTGTTTGCTTTGTATTTTGTAGTTTGTTCTCAGAGAGACGAAGGATGTATTGTAATATCTTGATGATATATGACCCATACAAACAATTTCAACGTTTTCACTCCACCCATAACCAACATTTTAAAATACATTTTCTTTAATGGTCTGCAATCAGTTCTGTTAGGCATGTTCACTTCAATATTGTAGTTTCACATAGTTTCAAATGTGCTCCTGTTTGCATTATTTCATGGCATTTGTTGGTTATTCAAATAGGTAAACAAAAGACATTTTCTGTTTGAACAGCACATGCTGTAACACCTCAGTGGTCATGTTAGATAAACTCACCATTACATAGTGAAGGCTTCAGGCTATTCAGGCTCGTTTTCTGTTTGCCAATTGTTCCTTTAGACCCGGATAAGCACGTCATACCTGTACGAATGTGAGTTTATTATTTGGATAGGATGTAAAATAATTTGATTATTTTAACTCGACTGAATTAAACTGCTCACTTTTATTTGTACATCACTTTGCATAAATAAATATATATATAAATAGGTTAGAAATAAACGAAAATCTTTGCAACACCAGTTACAGTTGACGTTTATCTTGCAGAATCTGCAAAATGCTAATAATATGATAAGAGGATCATAAAAATCACATTCCACAAGACAAAATAACAGCTGAATTTATTCATTATTTATTGTGTGGCGTTACCTGATCAATGACTGTTTTTATGTGTGCCTTGTTAAACTGCTCACTTTTGTTCAGAAAAATCCTCCAAGTCCTGCACATTCTTTGGTTCTCCAGAATCTTTTGCATATTTGAACCTTTCCAGCAGTGACTTGTCTTTTCACGCTAAACTTATAACCACAACTGTAGGTAATAATGTTACAGACTGAGCATCTGTGATATGTATTTAATAACGTGTATGTGTTTTGTTTCAGGGTTCAGCGAGAGCAGTTAGCTGCCATCTTTCAGCTGCTCAGAGACAAACAAGACACGTTTGGTGAGGTGACAGAGAGTGATTTACAAGAACAGCTTAAACTCTATTCTATTTGAGAGTGTGGTTATGTGGATTATAGATTCAAATACCATTTTAAGGAGAGTTCAAGTTGAAATCAGTGACTTAAATGAACCTAAAAAAGGGTTTGTTTGTTACTTATATGTGTATATATGTATGTATTGCTTATTATTATACATAATATGTGACCCTGGACCACAAAACCAGTCTTAAGTCGCTTGGGTATATTTTTATCAATAGCCAAAAAAAAAAAACATTGTATGGGTCAAAATGATTGATTTTTCTTTTTTGCCAAAAATCATTAGGATATTAAGTAAAGATCATGTTCCATGAAGATATTTTGTAAATTTCCTACTGTAAATATATCAAAACTTAATTTTTGATTAGTAATATGCATTTCTAAGAACTTCATTTGGACAACGTTAAAGGCGCTTTTCTCAGTATTTTGATTTTTTTGCACCCTCAGATTCCAGATTTTCAAATAGTTGTACCTCGGCCAAATATTGTCCTAACAAACCATACATCAATGGAAAGCTTATTTATTCAGCTTTCAGATGATGTATAAATCTCAATTTCATGACTGGTTTTGTGGTCCAGGGTCACATATAAGTAGTGAGGAATCAGAAGTCTGGAAAAGTTTAGTATAAAATTCAGTAGTAGTGCTTTAGCTTCACTTACTGTAATGATTATAGTGCATGTCAGTTCAAATCCTTGTTAAATACAGTATGAACTAAACTGAAATAAAATTCAAAATCAGCTAATATTACTCACTCTAACTGTCAGCTGTCTATCTTACATATCGACACTGTGCTTCTTTAAGTTACTAGTATGAAAAATAGACAAATGATGCATGTTATTTTTTATTTTTATAAATAAAAAACACTTTTTGCTTTATATTTTTATTATTTATAAACTGTGTTATGTTTAAGCGCCGCTCATAGATCAGTGCAGGCCATAGGCCAATAATGTCATTCGTAGCAATGGGCGGACTGTAATCCAGAAATAAACACCTGGTTTGATGATGTAATACATTTGAATAGGTAGATTATAAAACAGTGAATCTTTCACATTAATAGGGCCAGACTGATAGCATGAGTGGAAACTGGTCATGAAATATGCAGAAAGCTTGGGCTGTTATTAGTCTCATTCTGACTTGTTGCGTGCTGCTCTATCTAGTGCTTTGGATGAATCTCTCTGAACAGTTTCACAGGTAAGAAAATTAGTGAATCTTTTGCAAATATTCAAAATTTGTCTTATGAGGTGTAAGTATGATATTCTAATGACTGGTATATGGAGTTTATTACTGTTTTATTAGATATTTGTCTGTCTGGATTACCACAAAAAGTTTATTCCTGTTTTTGCTGTACACTTTCCTCCTAATTAGCAAAACTGTCGTCATTGCTGCATTGATTTTATCACAACTTGGAACTACTAGTTTGTACAAAACTGAAAAACCCATTTACTCCACTGAGCAAGAAATCAACATAACACCTATTCCGGTTCTCTATAAGAAAAATTTTACAAAACTTCCAGTGTGGGATTTTGAAGATGTTTTTTTGCGAAACGAAGCAAGAAAACCTGTAAGTCTTTCTTCTCCAATACCATTCTCACTGTGAAGTTGTGAAATCCTTTTAATCCTTTGAAAAAAAAATCACCTTTTCCGTAGACCTGTCTAAAGTCCCTTCAAAACACAGAGGATCCCAAGTTCAAGGAGGCTGTTCTTCCTGACGTTCAGCTGTGGCTGTACAAAGGTCTACTCAACGTAACAGAATGGAATCGATTAGCACACTTCAACAATCCCTTCGGCTTCATGGAATACAAGTACAATGGTGATAACCTAAGGCAAATGAAAGATTTGGCATAATATGGGTGTGTAGAGTCCTGCATGTGTTTGAGAAAGGGGTGCAGCAGGTCGTTAACTTGATGTCATTACTAGCTTGATGTCATTGGAGTTTAATACTGTAAACAATGTAAACAGGGGACTTTTTTCTTTGTTTAAAGAAACATTACAGCTTCAGTGCAAGCTTAAATCGACAGCATTTGTGGCATAATGTTGATTTTACTTGTCCCACCTTTTCTTTTCAAGTCACCAATTTAATTTTTTTTTAATGGAATATTGCAGTGTTTATTATAAAGGATTTATTCATGCACATCATTATTTAAAAAAAATGAATGTGTCCTTGTAATCTTTAAATAATATAACTTCCCCTCCCCCTTGCAATGACATTTTATTTATTTTTTGATGACGTGTGCAGTGATTTGTCACTCGCATGAGATCCCAGCAATAGCAAACAACAATGATCCGATCAATTCCCACTGAACAAAATCAAGTCCCGGTCTACATTTAGGGACAATAGGAGTTCTGGGTTATAATGGTAAATATGGTCAGTCAGTCAATAAACGTATTCACTCTTTCAGTACTGCAGCTGAAAAACATAATTAATATGTGTTAACATTATTTTAGTGTAAAAAATTTTTTTTTGTGAATTTACATCTAATTTTACAACTTTTTTTGTCATGACAGTGTAACACTAAAACTGTTACAGAGGAGGCTCCCGTACCGCCTCCTCCGCACCAGCAGAGGGAACCGTCTCCCGAATATTAGTCGTTCCCATTCGGACTCCAATTCCCATCACCCCTCATGCCTGGGACTGATTGCTCATCCACACCTGCACCTCATATACACACACACATATAAGCCACTCACACACACACAGACTCTCTGCGAAGTCTTGATTTGCCCTGGCTGTCATTTCCGAGTGTTATACCCGTGTTTGATTTTCTGTGCATCTGTTCTTGGACTGTTTCCCGATTCTCTGATTGTTATCTGCCTGCCCCGACTTGGATTGTTTCAACTGGACTCTGTTTGCTAGCCGCCTGCCCCAATCTCTCGTCTGGTTCATGACTCTGTCTCTGCCTTGTCTCTGCTGTTCTGCCTTGCCGGTATTTGACCCAGTATTGTCTGACTATTCTAAATAAAAGCTACAAATGGATCCACACGCTTCTGACTTGTCACAACAAAAACAACTGTAAAAATGAGAACAGTTTGTAAACAGAATAAAAAAATTTTTAAGTAAGCATTTTATTTACTTTAAATCCTTTAAAAATTTGTGCCATTAACTTGGACTCTAAATGTTTAATTTTCTTTAAATAACCATTTGGCCACAAACACTGTTGATTGAGCTAAACTTGCAAACATGAAGTAAAGGAATAGTTCACCCAAAAATGAAAATTTACAAAAATAAAAAATTACTCATCCTCAGGCTATCCAAGATGCAGATGAGTTTGTTCATTGAAACAGATTTGGAGACTTTTTATCACTTGCTCAATGGGTGCCGTCAGAATGGGAGTTCAGACTGCTGCTAAAAACATCACAATAATCCACACAACTCCAGACCATCAATTAACATGTTGTGAAGTGAAAAGCTGCAGGTTTGTAATAAACAAATCCATCAAGATGTTTTAACCTTGCTTTCTCCAGTGAAAACGTTGTCTCATCTGAATCAGGAGAGAAATATGTACAGATTAAACACTGTTTACAAGTGAAGTCTAAAACCGTTCTAAACAAATATGTGGATTTTGTGGACATCAGCGATGGACACAAGGAAGAGTTATTATGGATTATGAAGTTTAATTATTTAATGGACTGGAGTCATTTGGATTACTTGTGATGTTTTTATCAGCTGTTTGATCTCTCATTGTGACGGCACCCATTCACTACAGAGGATCCACTGGTGAACAAGTGATGTAATGCTAAATCGATGAAGAAACAAACTCATCTACATCTTGGATAGCCTGAAGGGTGAGTACATCTTCAGCAAATTTCATTTTTGGGTCAACTATTCGTTTAGATGACCTACTGTCTTCACTATGCATTTTACGTTTCATAAACTGCAGTTTTTTTTTCTTTCACTGAAGAGGTAAAAAGAGCAGTGGATTTGATACCAAAGCCTAAGTCATCAGTATTACTGCCTGTGCCTGAAAGTTCAAAGGATGGCTGTATCCGCTGTGCTGTTGTGGGCTCTGGTGGCATTCTCAATAACTCAAAGATGGGCAAAGAGATAGACTCCCATGACTATGTTTTTCGGTAAGAGTTAAAACATGTAAAAGTTTTATAATAAAATCACTTAGCTTAGTAAAAAATGGCTAGGGAGAGTTGACAACTGAATGAAATAGTTATGTTAATGATAATGCATGCCGATAACAGATTGCTTTACTGAGGTCTTTACTGTGTGTGTTCTGAAACAGAGTAAATGGGGCTGTTACTCAAGGTTATGAGGAGGATGTTGGAAATAGAACATCAGTTTATGTACATACAGCTTTTTCCTTATATGCCAACATTCTGATGTTAAAAAAGTACGGCTTTAACATTCCACAAGATGAGGTCAGTATATTCTACACTGGACTCTGTCTTAAAAAGCAAATATTCAGTACGATTTGCTTGTGCTGCTGTGTTCTTCATTGAGAATTATTTATATAAATACACTTTATATAAACTACACAACGTACACTACCGTTCAACAGTTTGAGGTTAAGATTTTTTTCGTGTTTTTAAAAAAGTCTCTTATGCTCACCAAGGTTGCATTTATTTGATAAAAAAAATTGTAAATCTTTTTAATAGGGCATCAAATATGTAATGATCCCTGAAGGCCTGAGGGACTTTGAGTGGATCCAAGGCCTTTTGCAGGGAAAAGCAACCAATGGGTCATTCAAGGGTGTGAGGTACAGTATCCAGCTCTAGTTCTCTCAAACCATGCTAGAATAGCAATGCAACAGTGGCTCCACCTCAGCATGATAAGGGGTGAAAATGTATTACTATGTTATTGATTTGTTTAAAAAAAAAAAACATTTGCATTTATTCTTGCATAGGCCACTGAAATATTTCGAAGGGAAATTTAATGAGAGTAGATTCTATGTTCTTCACCCTGACTTTCTTCGATACATTCGCAACAGGTAACATTTATGTTACAGTAATCTACAACAATCTAAGTGTGATCTATCTCTTTTTAATGACCCCTGTTTTTTAAAAAACAGATTC